ATGACATGGGGAGGAAGGAGGTAGAGAGGCCTTGCTTCCCTGGTCACCCCAGCCGTGTCAGAAACTGGTTCCGGTCCGTTGGGTTCCCATGGGAACCTGCTGGTGAGAGGCAGAGCCAGCCGCCTCCTGGCCCTTGGGGAAGCAGCAGCAGCCCCCACCTGGCCCACCTGAAGCCCTGAGCCTTGCTTTCTACTTCTCTGATCTCACCTTCCCAGGGCCACGAGGAACTTGGAAAGTTCAAGTGTGGGGCCACCCTCCTTTCCTGAGTTCATCTGATGGCTAAAAACCATAGGAGGAGGAGGTGGTGGTTTTGAATTGTTTTAACAATAGACCTAACACAACATTTACTGATTCAACATTTTTCAGGGGTACACCTTAGTAATGGCGATAATCCCGCGGTGCCACTAATACCAAAACGTGTGGCCAAATCCCCCAGCCCCATAAACAGAAACTCGCTGCTTCCTTCAACAGCAGCTCCCGTTCCCCTCCCTCCTGCCCACTGCCCACCAATAAACTCCGACTCTGCCGTCGCCTGGTCTTGTGGTTTTCTGTAACGGAGACCCGAAGTATCAGTCCTTTAAACCACGAGAGTTTGAATCACCCACACGTCCAAGCGGGAGGTCCTAATCCCTAAATCCTTATCCTGTGGAGCCTTACATCTCCCCCAAATCGGTGGTGTGAATGCACCCCTACACTCAGGGATGGCAGTTACCCCATCAGTTAAAAGTACTGAGCTGTGTCGGGGTTGGGGTGCTGTTGGCCAGTTGCCCCGAGACAGAGCAGAGGAGGTCCAGAGAAGAAAGCACAAATGGAGGGGGGCCCTGAAGATGGCCAAGGGACGAGAAGGCCCTTCCCCCAGAGCTGGTGCTCCGTCTGGACTGCTGGCCTCCTCACAAGTGAGAACACGTGTCTGTCAATGCCAGCGCTCGTGCTTCTAAGCAGGCACGTCTGGGACAATGTGAGGGAAAGGGTCAAGGTGTCATCACGGCAGAAATGGAGATGCCACGGAGTCTGACCGTCATCTGTGTCACGTCTGCCTTCCTCGGCTGCTCCCTGGTTTGCCAGGGCACCCACCTGGAGCAAGTGACCCCTTTTGGTAGAGCCAGGGACTGTGCCCGATAAGAAAGGCCACCGAGGGTGAGCGGGGAGAACAGGTGTCGCAGGATTACAGCTGGGTCATGGGGGCTCATGGCTGAGAAAGGGGGCTCCCCCATGGGCAAGGCACATGGCCTGAATTCTGTTTCACCTCAGCTGTGCCAGGGGACCAACATCTCAGCGGCGGGATGTGGAAGATCTTGTTTCACCCCAACATCTACCCCAGTCCCCCTGCAGCTCGGCCTGGAGGTGACCCCGGCTCTGGTGGAGCCCCTCTGGGACGGGCATGTGCTCTGGCCAGGGTGGTCTCCAGCGCACTGCGGGTCGGTGGCCGCTCCGACTGCGGAGGGACGACCCTGCGTTGAGATCTCAGGGCCATCCTTGAAGAGTCTTACTTGAGTCCCTGATCCCGGGGCTGGGCCATGTGCACTCCCTTGAAGACGCAGGGCAGGCTGGGGGGGTCACCCTTCCCTCTTGGAGCTGGAATGGGATGAGGTTGTGGGCCCTTTCCCAGCCCTGCTTTCTGGCTGGTCACAAGAAGCCTGGCTTTCCTGTTGCTTAACCCTGTTCACCTGGCTCTGGGGCAATTCCCTCAGGCAAATCAGGCCTGGGCCTCTTGCTCTTCCTGGTTCCTTGGGACCAGGTCCACCACAGCACGGGGCTTCTCCCCAGCCACACTCAGGGGGGTTCCTGCTAGGAAGAGAGGCACCAGGCTACGTGCAGCTCAGTGACTGGGCTTGAGTTGGCTATGGTAACAAGGACGGCTCTGCTCATTTTCAACATCTCAGGCACTTTAATCCACATTCTCATCTCATCTTCCTGGCCGCCCGGGACAGAGATAGTGGCCTGGTTCTCAGCGCCCCCCTTTGCCCACGGGGCAGAAGAGGGGACAACGGCAGGAAGGACATCATGGGAAGGAGGAGCCTGGCCTAGAGGTCTAGTCTCCTGTCTCCAACCCCCCCCAGCTCCTAGCACTCCATCCCCTCCCTGCCCCTGCGCCCCAGGGCAGGGTTTGGGAGCTAAGCCCGCAGCTCAGGGGGGGTATCTGGCTGCCGGCAGGGGTGAGTCACTCGGAAGGCCTCCATGGCCAGCAGCGTCTTGTTGATGCGGCCGATGGTGGGATAGGGAGTGAGGTCCACCTTGTACCTGTGGCAGAGAAACCCCCACTTAAGCCACGGCCCGCAGGGTCCAGGGAAGCAGAGGCAGGGCTGGGGGAGGCCTCGGGCACAGGCCAGAGGACCAGGAAGGTGGCCTCAGCAGGGAGCCTGATTCACAGAGAGCTCTTGGGAACGGGTAGGTCTTGTGCAGCAGAACCTGTCAGTTTGGTCACCTATTGATCCCGTTCTGAAAAGGAAACACTCAGGGCAGTCAGGGACGACCCGGGCTCCTGGTGGCCGGCCCTGTGTGTGTGTCAGGACAGCTGTGCTGCCCAGGGTTCCCAGTGGCTGCTGTAGGAAGCGGGTCACCAGGCCTTTCTTCTGAGGCTCCTGTGGGTGGACTTGAACTGCCAACCCTTTGGCAGCCGAGCATGGCGGCCGTTTGTACCACCTTGGCACTACTTGTGTCCCACGCCATGGCTATCTATCGAGGACCTATTGTGCCTAAGGCACGGAGCTCAAACCAAAACCAAACTCAGGGCCATGGGGTCAATGCTGGCTCCTAGCCGGCCCCTGCGGGTTTCCAGACAGTAACTGTTTATGGGTGGGGGAAGCCCACGTTTTCTCCCTCAGCGCTGCTGGTGGTTTTCAACTGCCGGCCTCGTAGGTCTCAGCCCACGAGTAACCTCCACACCACCACGGCTCCCCCAGGCACAGTGCTAGGCATTTCTAAGCACGGATGGTCTCTGCACCTGCGTGGTGAGCTGCTTTGGGATTAAGGATGTGTCAGACATTTCCAAGGCCCCAGGTGTACCCAGCACAGTCCTTCCACAGAGAGGGGCTCTCATGAGCCCCTTGAAGGGTGGATGAGGGAAAGAAGTGGCGCTTCCAGGCGCAGACACGCCAACGGGCCCTGTCTAGGGCAGAAGGCAGGGGCTCTGGGGGTGGGGTGTCTGTGCGCCACCTCTTCTTGGGCTTTACTAGGACGTGGTGGGTGTGGCCTGGGCTCAGTCTTCCAAATGGGATTCCTCGGGGCTCAAGTGGCTGGTGGGTCTGGCACCTTGGCCAGTCTGGGACGTATGTGAGTAGGGTGGGGGTGGGGTGTCTCTGCAGGAAATGCTCTCCGGTGCTGAGGTGGAGCCTGACGGGAGGAGGCTGGGGGTTCTGAGCTGGGGCAGACAGGCAGGGAGGGAGGGGTGGAGGGAGGTGGGACTCTCATTTACCTTTCAGCATTGGCCACTTGAGGCGCCAGACACAGATCAGCCATGGAAACCTGAAGAAGGGGGGATAGGGCTGTCGGGATGTACCCCCCAGGACCCACCTGCTGGCCTGAGGGTGTCCACTGGGGACTTGAGGGGGCAACTCCTGACCTTCCCATCTAGCCCAGGCTTCTCCACCCCAGCCTTCCCCTCAGAGCTGAACTTCTCCCCAGGGAAGGCTGGCGTGAGTGACCTGGCGGATGTTCCTGGGCTTGTTCAGAACACTCACAGGGATGTTGGAAGAGAAAGCTAGGGCTGGGGGCCCCTGGGGCCTGAACCAACACAGGTCCAAGGTCTCGGCCTGTAAGAGTGAGGGTCCCTGGATCCCCGACTCTCTGATAAGGGAGGGGGCACGGCCTGGCTCCATTCCATTCTCGTCATGTCCGAGACGAGATCTTCCGGAAGGCTTGAATACCTCCAGGAACGAGAAACTTAACTTTCTCTTCGGGCAGTTTCGCAGGGATGAGCCCAAGTGCCCCCTCCCTACGAGCTCAGCTGTTTGCCCCTGAGATGCCCCCTGGCCCTGGCTCCCTGCTTGACAGGCGGCTTCTCAGGAAGCTCTCTGAGCTGGGTCTGCCTCTGGGATGGAGGGAGCTGGTTGGCTCTTAATGGAAGAGGCAGCCTGAGGTCAGCATGGGGGCGGGCCTGGGGATGGGGGGGATGCTTACCTCATCTCCCACACAGAACTTTCCCGAGGTGCTCCTCAGGGTCTTCTCAAGAGCTGTGGGGAGACCACAGGGACCATCTGTCTGGGGGCGCACCAAGCGGGAGACCAGCCTTGGCCCCTACCGCTATGAAAGAGGTGGCCCTGAGTGGCAGGCTGGGCCACGCAGAGGCCAGGTGGGCTGAGGGGACGTGGCCACCACATGCAGAAAGGACCAAGAGAGTGGAGATGAGTTTTCCCAGGGCTCTTCCGGCCCGGCGACCATCCCTGCCCTCTGAGTGGCCAGCAGCAGCTCTCCCATTTCCTGGAGGGGCAGTGAGGCAAGGCTGGCCCTCCCACGGAAAGGCTGTGTTCCCAGCATCTGAGGCCAGGCTTGAAGGCCACTCAGCCCAGCGCCCACCCAGCCCTGGCCTGCCTCACCCAAGCCACAGTCAAGACCTGGGAGGGTGTTTCAGACGGACGAACACCCTGGGTGTGAGGGCCCATTTCTACCTCAGGCAGAGCAGGTGGCAGAAATAAGAACTCACCGTTAAAGCCTGAAGTGATGGCCTTCTGGGCCCAGGCCAGCTGGTTCTCCTGGCCCACTTGCTTCAGGAGAGACAGGTTCTGCGCAGCCCGAGGAAGATCGGTGATTGGCTTGGGCGGCCGGACTGAGCCTGCCTTCAGCGGAGCCCCGCTGGGGAGCCTGGTTTCCGTCTGCCTGTGGCCCTGCACTTACACCCCGGACTCCATGAGCCCCTTCCTCCCACCAGGACCCTGAGGCTGGAGGGAGGCAGCGGTCTCTGCAGTCACCTAGGCTGCTGCTGAAAGCCACCTGAATGGGGAGACTGTGCAAGGGCAGGGGCAGAGGTGTGGCCACACCTGAGGCCTAGCTCCCTTGTAGCCTCAGGTGGTCCCTGGAGAGGAGGACTGTGATGCAGGTGGGGCAGAAGGGAAGGCAGCCGAGACTCGTTCCGGGAGCTTTGCCGGCCTGGAGCGGTTTCTCTCCGGGCTGCAGCTCCTTCATCTGTCAAACGGGCTCCTTTATTACAAAGACGGCATGCCAGGGGCTGGGAGGCACGGGTACCCCGTTGGGAATTCTGGGCTCTGCCACAAATCAGCTGAGTGACCACTTCTCGGGGGCTAGTTCTGAAGTCCTAAGCCAGTGGTTAGCGCATGGGAATTGTTTTAATACTACCTTCTTGTCTTTTACTGGAGAAAACTTTGCCCCACACAAAACCTTAGCGATCCCCACTAAAGGCTCTGACGCCGAGGCAGGAGGCCTGGGCCTGAGCCTGCTCAGCCTCTCCCCGGCCCCCTGGCCCTTTCTGCACCCAGGCTACCTCTCGGCCCGGCCTTGGGACCTTCTCTTTCCTGGAAGCAGGTGGGGCCTGAAATGAGTGACTTCTGGCTCCTTCCACTCTGGCACGTGACCTGGTCTTCCAGCCACCCCCCCCCTCCAACTCCCCTACCCCCCCACCCCCGTCCAGAGCTGGAGCACCCTGTGGGCCACCCTCAGGCCACCCACGTGGGAGTGTCTGCAGGGACAGCCAGGGTGCGAGGGTGCAGGGCACACACACCACACCTGCAGCGGCTGGATGCCACTGGCAATGAGCTCCGAAATCATGCGGACGGCGGCCCTCTTCTTGGGGTCCTGTGGCAGGAGTCGGGGGGCGGGCCGCGTCTCCTCCACGTACTCGATAATGGCCAGCTGTGCACAGGGGGGCAGGGAGGTGAGGCGAGGCAGGGAGAAGGCCCCGGATCCCAGCGGCCTCCCCCACGCCCCCTTCGCAGCTGGGGCCCTGTGAAGCCAAGAGCCTCTCTGGGGTGGGGGG